AGTGCCTTCTCAGATTTTTACCAACGGAATATCATGAATTTTTCTGTACAAAGACATGATCTTAACAATTAAATTCGTACTTAATTGAGTTAAGTACAAATTCTTACAGTACTTTCTCATTCAGAGTCAACTAAGACTATTTTATCTCTCAAGGGCATTTTTGTAATTTCATAACCAGATAATTTCGATATTAGCTCTTAATGAAAATAATATAATATAGAGATCCTATGATTAATTGCTTCCTCGAACATTCTTTGATCTTGAAATGATTCCTTAAAAGACTTCTAGTATCTAGCATAAACCCTCTTGGGGTTAAAAACCTGTTATCCATAATTTCCAAGTAAAACTAACATTTCTTATGCACATCAATAGTTTTATCATATCAATAATTCTTTTCAGATTATTAATCCACTTCCGGGGACAATACTTATCATTTTCCAACATAAGGGTAATTTCATAATTTTACCTAATCGAAATATTCTCATAATTTATCATCTAAGTACCTTTAATGAGATAAATTATAATCTACATATCCATGGCTGATTCTTTTATCACTTAAATCTACATATCGATGGTTGATTCTTTTATCACTTAATTCCAGAACTTGTAATTTAATTTCAACTGTCCTCCAATTTCTTATAATAGTCATTTGAGCTATATTCAATTACCTACTTGCTACCGTATTCGTATCAAGTATAGATCTTCATTAATTACACATATGAGACTAAACATTTCCATTCATGCATTTACCAATACCAACATGTTCTATAAAGCATAAAGAGGTAGTAAAGTATTACCTCGATTTTCATGCAATACTGATCGACCATAAAATTTCATTCGAACGCCCTCAATCTTGAAATCATCTTCCAATATTTCCTCGGATCCATACCAAAAGAAATTACATAAAAAACAGAGCTTAATTCTGAAAAACAGATCGAATCAGATGATAAATCAGTGAAAAACAGCTTACCGGGTTCGAATTTGGCGAAACGATCTTCGAATTCGGATTCAGGACGTCGAAAGCATAAAATATGACTTTTCGAAAATTTGAAATTTTCGGTCAAAATCAAAGTCAACGGGTTTGACTGGCAATTTCGAGGCCTTTGGATCCGAATTTCGAAAAATGGACTGCGGAATCGGATTTGGAACGTCAAAAAATTTCAAGATAGGTATACTCGGTCAAAGTCAAAGGTTGTTTAATGTCTGGTCAAATCCCGTCAAAGTTTTGGTCAACTTTGGTCAACACCGGTCAACGGGTCAACGGGTCGGGTCGGGTAAACGGGTCGGGTTGAAACCGATCAAACCGATCAAAACAGCTCCAAAACCTGTCAAACCAGTCATTTCTCCCTTCCCCACGCGTAGTGGCGGCGTGTGGGGGCGCATGAACAGTGCTATGGTGTCGGAAAATTCCCGAAAAAATCCTAAAAATTATTTTAAGCGATTTCGAGGCACTTACAAAGCTCTGTTCACAATTTTGAACGGTGAAGTGCTCGATTTCAACGAATCGGAAACTTTGACCGCTTCATCTCCTCACACGCAGCCATCAACGGAGACCAAGGATGACACCGGCAGACTCGAAATGATGCAAGGAACACGATGGTGTGGGAGGTGTCGTAAACGGATCATCGGATCGTCGTGAATCGACGAAAAACCAATTGAAATTGAGTTATTACTGACGATACTTCTGACTGAAATTAACGACGAACGACGATGATTCATGACGAAAGGTTTGAGGGATTTTATTCCTCGGTCGACAACGAACACGATGGTGGTTTCGGTTCGTCAAACGGACGCCGGACGGTGAATAAATCGGAGTTCAAAGAGGGGTTAAGGGAAGAGGAAAACTGGAAAAATGCCATCTGCAACACGGGGAGAGAGTTTATAATTCTCTCCTAAAGAAAAATGGTTAAACTATGAGTTTAGCCACTGAACTTTTTGCACTTCTTAAAATGGCCTGTCAACTTTGAAATTTTACAATTTAATCCTCAATTTCCTTCCAAAATTCCAATTAAATTCACCACTTTATAATTTCTTAAATTTTACCCCCTAAATTGGGGTGTTACAGATCGGTTTTGAAGAAACAATTTGATTGTAATTATTATATGAAGTACCCATTTTCTTAAATGATAATTTAAGATTTTACAGAATTTGTAAAGAACAGAGTTTTGAAAAGCCAATGTTACACATCGGACTCGGATCCGGGTCAGATACGGGTTGGGGGTGTTACAGCTTATGTATTGAGCCTATGTAAACTATGTAAATGGACTAGCACTAATGTAAATAGACTTATTTTTGGGTTTTATTATTACTTATTCATAACAACAAAATAAATGGGCTATTAATGTGAATTAACCTAACATGCAACTAAAATACTAATTATGCAAATGAAATTAATATGACATGTACTACTATTTATGAACCATATAATATGCAATGTGACATACTAATTATTTAACACCTAATTAATCATGTTTTATATAATTTACATTTAAATTATTTAATTAATTTTATTAAATAATTTTATATAATATATATGTATAAACCAAGTATAGTATATATAAACTATATATATATATATATATAGTTTATATAAAGTAAATTACTTATATAGTTTATAGAAATACTATGCATAAACCCTAAACTATATAAACTATATAGTTTTATAGAAACCCTAAATCCTAAACTTTAAACCCTAAACCCTAAACACTAAACATTAAACCCTAATATAAATAGACTAGCACTAATACATATATATTTGTAATAAAAGAGTGGGCTTATGTATTGGGCCTATGTAAACTAATGTAAATGGACTAGCAATATTGCAAATGAACTTATTTTTTTGTTTTATTATTATTTATTCATAACAACAAAATAAATAGTCTATTAATGTGAATTAACCTAACATGCAACTAAAATACTAATTATGCAAATGAAATTAATATGACATGTACTACTATTTATAAACCATATAATATGCAATGTGACATACTAATTATTTAACACCTAATTAATCATGTTTTATAAATTTACATTTTAATAATTTTATTAAATAATTTTATATAATATGTATGTATAAACCATGTATAGTATATATATATAAACTATATAAAGTAAATTACTTATATAGTTTATAGAAACACTATGCATAAACTATATAAAGGAATAAAATATATAGTTTATAGAAATCCTAAATCCTAAACTTTAAACCATAAACAGTAAACAATAAATCATAAACCTTAATGTAAATGGACTAGCACTAATGCATATATATTTGTAATAAAAGAGTGGACTTATGTATTGGGCCTATGTAAACTAATGTATTGTCAAAATTTTTTATATTAATAATGTAAAACGTTAATATATATTACATAATAAATACTTTCATTATTAATATTATTTTTTATATAAATTAAACTATATAATTTATATAAATTAAACTATATTAATTTTCCTTTTCATTATTAATCATGTTTTATCTAATTTATATTTAAATAATTTTATTATTTTATTAAATAATTTTATATAATAGGTCTATTTATTAATTTAATTATCATAATAAATATTTTATTATAACATTTAAAAAGTAATCATATTAATTTTTTTAATTACATCATAAACTAAAAAACCTCATAATTTTATTAAAATCTTATAATTTTGTCCATGATAATATATAAGTCAGGTAAATATCAGATCAGGTCATTAACAAGTCGGATCATTTACGAGTCAGGTTAAAAACATGTTAGTTTAAAAATAGGTTAGTTTAAAAACAGGTCGGGTAATACCAGATATTTACCAGGTCAATCTCGGGTTCGAGTTCATATCAGTCGGATGCAGTTCGGGTTCGGGTATCATATTTTCGGTTCAATTCGGGTTCAGGTCGTTCTCAGGTCAGATGCAGGTCGGGTTCATATCCACAATTTCCAGGTCCAACTCGGGTTTAGGTCAACACCAGTTCCGACTCAAGTCGATTTCGAATCGTCACAGCGCAAATCAAAAACAGTTTTAACTCAAGTCGTTTCAGTCAATTTTACAGGTAGGGTCAGTTTTTTTCACCCCTAGTAATATGCCGTATTCTGCATTGCCGAGAATTCGTTGATTAATACAATTGCTTTATGTGCTTATTTTTCATATACTTCCTCTTGTAAATGCCTTATCCTGATCTTCAGCATGGTTTTGGTTTTTTTAAGCATTGTTTTTCTTCTAAAGTATTATGTCATGTCATTGTTGGGTTGAGATTTTTATATCCTTTTTTTAATCATAGATTAATTTGTTTTATTTTTTGTATGATTACTCATGTTAATTTAATTTTGATAAAAATAAACTGCGCGTTTATATATTTTTGAATAATTCGTTAAGGTGGTTTAATTTATAGAAAAAATATACACTTCAATTGTTTTATTTTTGTGTTCAAAGTCTATATTCTGCAAAATTTACTATGGTAAAATTAAATTAATTCATGTTCTACAAACAACGTCAATATTTCCCGCAAAAGAAAAAAAAAGGAAAATAAAAATAATCTGATTTAGTGTGTATATGGGATATTTCCTGCACCCAGTGGAATTCCTTAAACAAGCAAACAATTAATGAAATACAAGAAAAGTGAAAGAGTTGGAGTTCATCGAGATACGGATTCTGAATCTGTACACATTTTTTTTTAAATTCTATTTGTTTTTCTCAAAATGTCTCTGGTTAATAGTGGTGAGTGGAAGTCTAGAGTCTTTCAAGGCTTGGGCTGCTTCATAGGCTGCTAACATATGTTTTACATCTCCATTAGCTAGTTTTGCAGATTTTGCTTCCCAAAACAACTTCAATAACTCCTCGAACGGAGGAGTTTTGAGTTCGTCAATCGATGAAACACTCGGAAGGTTGAATGACCTCTTCCTTGGAGTGGAGCAAGACGGCTTGTCCACCTGTGACTTAAAACATTAACCATCAACAAGCATGTTACAGCATAAATCTCAGGCGTAACGCCATTGGACATTTGTCTAACAATAGTAAGAGCTAGTACGAGTCTTGATGACTTTTACCATGTATTCATCCTCCAGACATTTCGCTGCATTCTCTGTAATTTCTACAATTTTGTGGTAGTGACTGTGAGAAAGGAGACATAATAACCAGAAGATGAAGGAAGGTAAATGACAGTGAATGAAGATGAGAAGCTGTGAAAGAGGCAACTCTGTTTACTAAATGTGAAGAAATGAATTACAAAATGCTTGAGTCTTTAACCCATTACAAACATCACTTATATAGCACCACAAAACCAAGTTTAACAACTTGATCTAACAAACTAACCAACCTTTAACAAACTCAGTTAACTTTGACTAACTCAATACTAACTAATTACATTCTATTATATTTTATTTCTAACATTCTTTCTGCTTCTTCTTCTTGATCTTCTTGGGGGGGGGGGGAAATTAGCATGGCATCCAAAACAAAATAGTGTCTTCTTCTTCTTTTTCCTTTATTCACCTTGCTTCTACGCCCTTCTTGAAATTCACTTTGTGATTTGAGAGTTGATCGAACAATGTTGCAAGCCTAGAGAGTTAGAACTGTGAGCTAGAATTCATGTACACTGAACAATTTTTTTTTCGTTGAAAGAAGCTTTCTTCAGCTCTCTTTTCTTTAACAGTTTTTTTCCCTTGTTCTTCATCTTTACTGTCATTCTTCTTCGCTTATTTGGTAAATCTTTTTATTGGAAGCAAGGCTGTTAAGCTACAAGCTCCCGAGTGTAATCTGAAGCTTCTCTTGAGCAAGAAAACACCCTATTTTGTCTGGTTAAAGAGAACAAGGCTGTTAAACACTTGACTCTCCCCAGATATTTTCTTCTATGGTAACTTAGCTGTTAAGCTTTCAAGTTCTATGTCAAACTTTGGAGAAGAAATAACAGTCACTGTAGAAACTAAAATGTCAATAGGTGAGCAAAGCAACATCGTACCAATGGCCATTATTCAACATCAACTTACAACACTAGTTTCCAACAAGCAATGCAACACATAACAAAACTTGTCCTCAACGACAGCAAAGAATTGGACTCACAGTAACATCACTGAAGCATTTAGTCGAACACATTGGAGGCATGCACACAAAAAAAACTGCAATTTCCTTTTCACTTACCAAACACTATAGGATCAATTGAATCGTTCAAAATGCATGATTATTCAGCAAGCTCAATTGAAGCAGAGAAGCGCAGAACAACCAGGAATCAAAGTGACAGATAGCGTGGGAAACTATAACAACACCAACCATTGGCAAGCAGTTGATGAAACCACACTATCAAGAACGAAAATCAAATATTAATCAAGCCAAAAAACTAAGAACACATCACCAGTCACACTCATCAAAAGATGAATTCCGACAGTGAAACTGATTCACATTCGAAACTGCCGACAGAAAAATCGATGTCAAGGAAGAATAAAGTAGCTCGTTGATGCAGGAGTGACGCTTAATGATCGAAACAGCAGCACTGTCAATGATGGTGGAATAGCAATCTCACTGTGGCAGTAATTGCGTGAGAGAAATGAGTCCAATGGTGCAACAGCGGCAAAAAATGGTATCAGGATCTTTTTAGCGAATGATACCATGTGAGAAATGAGACATAATAACCCGAAGATGAAGGAAGGTAAATGACAGTGAATGAAGATGAGAAGCTGTGAAAGAGGCAACTCTGTTTACTAAATGTGAAGAAATGAATTACAAAATACTTGAGTCTTTAACCCATTACAAACATCACTTATATAGCACCACTAAACCAAGTTTAACAACTTGATCTAACAAACTAACCAACCTTTAACAAACTCAGTTAACTTTGACTAACTAAATACTAACTAATTACATTTTATTCTATTATATTTCTAACATTCTTTCTGCTTCTTCTTCTTGATCTTCTTGGGGGGGGGGGGAAATTAGCATGGCATCCAAAAGAAAATAGTGTCTTCTTCTTGTTTTTCCTTTATTCACCTTGCTTCTACGCCCTTCTTGAAATTCACTTTGTGATTTGAGAGTTGATCGAACAATGTTGCAAGCCTAGAGAGTTAGAACTGTGAGCTAGAATTCATGTACACTGAACAATTTTTTTTTCGTTGAAAGAAGCTTTCTTCAGCTATCTTTTCTTTAACTGTTTTTTTCCCTTGTTCTTCATCTTTACTGTCATTCTTCTTCACTTATTTGGTAAATATTTTTATTGGAAGCAAGGCTGTTAAGCTACAAGCTCCCGAGTGTAATCTGAAGCTTCTCTTGAGCAAGAAAACACCCTATTTTGTCTGGTTAAGGAGAACAAGGTTGTTAAACACTTGACTCTCCCCAGATATTTTCTTCTATGGTAACTTAGCTGTTAAGCTTTCAAGTTCTATGTCAAACTTTGGAGAAGAAATAACAGTCACTGTAGAAACTAAAATGTCAATAGCTGAGCAAAGCAACATCGTACCAACGGCCATTATTCAACATCAACTTATAACACTAGTTTCCAACAAGCAATGCAACACATAACAAAACTTGTCCTCAACGACAGCAAAGAATTGGACTCACAGTAACATCACTGAAGCATTTAGTCGAACACATTGGAGGCATGCACACAAAAAAAACTACAATTTCCTTGTCACTTACCAAACACTATAGGATCAATTGAATCGTTCAAAATGCATGATTATTCAGCAAGCTCAATTGAAGCAGAGAAGCGCAGAACAACCAGGAATCAAAGTGACAGATAGCGTGGGAAACTATAACAACACCAACCATTAGCAAACAATTGATGAAACCACACTATCAAGAACGAAAATCAGATATTTATCAAGCCAAAAAACTAAGAACACATCACCAGTCACACTCATCAAAAGATGAATTCCGACAGTGAAACTGATTCACATTCGAAACTGCCGACAGAAAAATCGATGTCAAGGAAGAATAAAGTAGCTAGTTGATGCAGGAGTGGCGCTTAATGATCGAAACAGCAGCACTGTCAATGACGGTGGAATAGCAATCTCACTGTGGCAGTAACTGCGTGAGAGAAAGGAGTCCGATGGTGCAACAGCGGCAAAAAATGGTGTCAGGATCTTTTTAGCGAATGATACCATGTGAGAAAAGAGACATAATAACCCGAAGATGAAGGAAGGTAAATGACAGTCAATGAAGATGAGAAGCTGTGAAAGAGGCAACTCTGTTTACTAAATGTGAAGAAATGAAATACAAAATACTTGAGTCTTTAACCCATTACAAACATCACTTACATAGCACCACTAAACCAAGTTTAACAACTTGATCTAACAAACTAACCAACCTTTAACAAACTCAGTTAACTTTGACTAACTCAATACCAACTAACATTCTATTATATTATATTTCTAACAGTGACCACCTTTCAGGTTTCTCAAATCATCACAAGAAGGAAATATCATGGAATTCATGTTCCCGCAAGCATCACGGTCGAGTTGTAATGAATCTGCACAAGGCTTTTTTTATCAGTTTATAGTTTCTTTGTAATATCCAAAATTTTGGTTTGTTTCGACAAATCAAGATACTTACGGTCGATGGATGTTAGGCAACTGTTGTTTTCTGTGTCTACATCTTCAAGAGCAGTGGACACAGTGGAAGAAAATTGATCACTGAATATCCGATTTGCTTCCATCCCACCACTGATTGAATAGAAGCAAAGAAGAATTGTAAGTGATCTACATCTGAATTTTCTAAGATACTTTGAGGCCTATGTAACTCCGACATGAGTGCAATTGTTGGATATAGCCATATTCACTTGGTCTTTTTTATGTCGGATATGGGTGTTGAATACCAACATTTGAGGAAAAATGACGAGTTCAAGCAACATAACCCTGAGCGAGTAGCATACCTAACAATGGAATCCACGGAATCAAAATTTCTCTTTTCTAGGCTAAGAAGGGAATCCTGAGCATTCCTCCATTGCCGAGCACTCATTTTTGTCTGCTTCAAACTGCAAAGCAATTTCGTAAAATGTTCAATAGGGGGAAAAACCATCAAAGCCGAGATCTAATATCAAGGAAAAATATATTTAATGCATCATCATCATGAAAACAACCAGTACCAGTTTTGAAGAATATCTTCCATGTCTTTCTTTCCACATTCTACTGCAGAAACATCTTCAACATAGTGGGATTCTGTGCTTTCCATGCGAGTCTTCCATTCCGTTTTAACAACAGAAGTGGACTCTTGCAAAATAGACATTTCTTTCTGCCGTTCAGTCGTTTTGCTAGTTATATTCTCCAGCAGATCATGGACCGCCATTTGGACCTAAAGCGAATAATAAAAGGAATTTATTCCCTGGAAAATGTTATCAATCATCAATAAAAAACTTTCAATAAGACTATCAAGGTCAGAAGCAATATATACAAGTACCAGTTTTTCTTCCTAGCACTAGAATCTGCAAGCAGCTCTGCCACCTCTTGTAGCAATTGCTTTTCTTCATTAGCGGCACATTCCTACGTGTAACAGTGTATTTTTTTTTGAAAGGGTAACACAGTGTATTAGTTTTAACTGTAACGGGCATTTTAGTCAAATGCACTTATATCAGTATCAAGAACAATAAACAACCTCAAACTTCTTTTCAAACTCAGACAGTTTGTTGTCATTTGAGGTTTGTGCTTCTTCCACAATTTTGGTGAGTTTGGATGCCTGCATGTCTAAAGTCGCAAAGAAATTCACTGTTATTTTAGAAATTGACCTTGCATTATCTACTGCCCTGGAATGTGTCTGTATATTATCATATAGAAAGAAGTGAATCTACTATTAACACCTTTCAGTTACAGGTTAGCGGAGACATGAATCAATAAATTACAGACCTCGCGCTGCTGTAGCGCAAATGCAGCCAGCTTCTCTTCTTGCTTGTAAAGACTACTTTGAAGGTCATTAAGTAATGCATCAGCTTCAGAAGCAATTCCTTTGAAGAGCTGAGCCATTGTAAACAACTTAATAAGCAGAGTAAGTACAAAAGGGTTCACTAAAAAACAAGTTATCTTAGTACTGCTTACATCTTCTAGGTCATGTGAGTGCTTAGAAACTTCAGATATGTCCAAAGCTTTTGAGCTATATTGTCCAAAGCTATGATACCCAAACCGTATGTGTCCTTCAACTTCCCCAACCTTCTTCGAAGTTCTTCCGTAGCCTTCAGTTATAAACAAGTAAAGCTATTAGAGAACTATCAATCAAGTCCTGGATTATGCTTCAAAGGTGACCTTTGGAACCATACCCCTGATTTTGTTGATACAAAGGACTGCATATCTTCCTCCATGTCTTTCAGTTGCTGCTCTTGTTGAGTCACAGAAGCTGCCACCGTTTTATGCAAGATTTCAAGCTGCTGGGTCAACTGGGACTGGAACCTTTGGATAAGTGCTTTATTTCCATCCTCAATTTTATCCTTCCTTTCTGAAAACCAAAGAGCATAAAAGAATAAATCATTACAACATAGAACAACCATGCCAAAACAATGTGCACTCTGAAGGATCCTAAGTACTAACCGATCTTGGCAAACTAATCTGAGACATCTGAAGCAGCATTTTCCAGCTCTGCTCGTAGTCCAAAAGCATGCTCAACAAGTGCTTTCTCTGAAAAATTAGCAAAGGGCATATTTAATATCAGAAACTATCACATATACTGGCATGATTTCAAACTAGAGAAAACAATAAAGATATTTTATACATTTTCCATTATCAGAAAAGTACAAAATTGCTTGTATAAAAAACATTAAATGAAGAAAATGAAAGAGCAGAGAAAAATCACTCAAGACCAAATAATCGGCTAAGGATATTTCAACTCACCAGATTTAAGGAGATTAGATATTAAAAATTCCTTCTCTTTAATAGTTGCATTTGCTTGTCTATGTTTATCCTCAAGATCAAACAATGCATTTTCAGTTTGCCCCAGTTTTTTCTGAAAAAACGAAAATCAGAGTTCAGTTCTGACACAGTATATAAGAGAAGAAAATAGCAAACATGACATTTTTAAGTTGACCATGCAAAACTGTAATACCTCTGTCTTCTCAAGTTTGTCACTTAAATCTGCAGTCAACAATTGCTGTGAATTGTACAGTTCCTGAAGATCAGTAATTTGCTGCTCAAAAGTAAAGAAGGAACATTTAGCTTGCCTCTAAATCTTAAATCAGAAATATTTGTTTTGATTCTGATGAAATGTACCTTCTCCTTAGATTCTGACACAAGTTACATACGCTCTATTTTTTCAGCCATAGCCTGATGTAAAAGTTTTATCATATATTAGTAATGCAATGCAACATGAAACTGAGACAAAAATATTTCTACCATTCAATCATATTGTCAGAATCCAACCTTTTTCTCTGCTTCTTCAAGGAAATAACGGTCTCGTGGAATATAAATTCCATTTTTTTCTCTGGCAGCATACACCTCTGATAAAGCATAAAAAAGGGAAGCAAAAAATATCACATATAAGAACCAATGAATAGTGGGGAAATTAAGTTTTCCTGGCAAAAAAAAAGGAACAGTCGGCTACCTTGCCTCAGGCGGTTAGTTTCAGAATATAAATCCTTCATTAAAGCAGATTTCATCATCTTCTGGTTAATCTGTAATAATAACAAATTCAATTATATCAGTAAGTTGCAAGGAGAATAAATCATTCAACTTCGTATTGTAAGAAACGGGGCAAATTCATCTTTATCATGTAAAATAATTTGGCAACAGAAAGTTCAAAAGGTGATACTGATGGCTGATCGACTGACCTCTGGTTTGTTCTCGATATTCTTGGCATGATGTGCATAATCTAGAGTGCTGAGTGTTTCTTCCAGACAATGGATGGATGGTGATATTGTGGCAATTATGCATGTTTTTGTTTTTCCTCCCAATGAATCCCTCAACAGCCTCGTAAGTTTGCTATCTCTGCCATTTGTAAATGTATTTTATAAATCCTACCCAAAACACAAGCAAGTGCTCATCAGAAATTACACCTTCAATAAGTTATACCCATATGGAACATGACCTGAGTGCTCAACAAGCGCATTGATAACACGACCAAGAGTGAGCAAGCTTTTATTAATCTCTCCAGCTTCCCTTGCTCTGCCCTGTAAGAGTTTGATTATTTGAGATCAATACTTAAAAACATTCAAATATCCTAATATAGATAACATCAAACTACAATCTTTGCAAAGAAAGAAAATTATACACGAAGGGTGGTGATGCAAATTGCAATACCTCTCGCGCCCCAGAACGTGAAATATTCTCAGAACCAGCAAGGTCAACAAGATTTAGCTTTCCACATTTAATCATCTCTTCCCCCTCTGGTGTGCACTCTTTGATGTGAATTGTAATAGAAAATATAGAATGAGATCGACTACTTTGCTTGTTAAGTAGAGTCTCAGCCGTGCACCTTCTAGCAGAACCTTTTTCCAAGATTTTGTAAATTTCATTAGCAGTAGTTACTAGCTCTTCTTCCAAGCCTCTGACAAAAACTCCCCCTTTTCCATCTTCCATAAGAGCAATGGGTTTCTTAGATTTATCATCAATGAATTTTGTAGTTTCCTCTGGTGCCAAAAGATCTGTTATTTCCTCATTGTAAAGCTCTAGAAATGTAACTTTCATACTATATTCAGCACTCTGAGCTTCTAATATATCAAAAATTTGTTTGACAGCTCTGGGAATAACACCAGCATCACTTGGAAAGTCCCCCTTCTGCAGAAATCAAAAGTTTCACCTAAAAATTTAAAACAAGAAAAAACAAAGCCATGATTTATAAACCAATTCTGAAAATTAGGATTAAAATAGAACAGAAAAAGTGAACCTTTTTCCTTGCTCCTTCCATTGTGTAAGTCTTACCAGTTCCCGTCTGACCGTATGCAAAGACAGTGCAATTATAACCCTCGAGAACTTCATTCACAATTGGAGAGACAGCCAATTCAAACAACTCCTTTTGCTGGGAAGATGGAGCAAAAACCTATAACAAACAATCCTCCAACACTATAAATCGTCACTCAATATATCAAATCCTTACACACCTTTCAAATAAAACAAAAAATGAAACCTTGTCAAAAAGAAAGGTCCTATCAATTTGCTTATTAGCAATATTCTGTACAGTACAAACTTCTCGTCTACTTTCATTACACGATATCACCACTGGTGTATGTATTCTCATTTCATCTGCACTCAACGGCCTACGGGAAACAATCAAATTTATATCATTAATCTTATCCAGTTAATTAAATAATTAACAGAAAAGTAGGGAGAAAAGAATGACCTACAACGTTAAATGACCTGAACGTTAACGCCTTTATTCTTATCATGTTTGGAACTTGAATTGGAATCACCTGATCGCAGATCTCGCACCGAATTATCGTTCGAACGTGGAGTTTGCGACGGAGATCGCGGCACCAATCCTCCTCTTCTTTGATGTTGTGAAGACTCCATTGCAGAGAGCTCTAACGATTGTGTGATTCGAAGCACTTTTTAACTACAACGAGCTATTATGATT